TTTCTATAATGTTCTCCAAATTCCCTCAAGTTTGAGTCAAATTGAACAAGCTGTTTTCAGACTATAGTCAAATAATGCGTTTTTCTGATCCGAGAGCGGAAGATTTTTTTTTTTATTAAAGTAGTGGAATTCAAAAATTTATATTCACCTAATTATCTGTTAACCGATCCCTAACTTTTCTCCAAATATGAGCCAAATCGAACGAGCGGTTTTAGATATATGGACACTTTTTTGTGGATTTTGTATCCGCTACATCCGCTAAATCCGCTACATCGATTTGACAACAGACGGACACACACTGGGCGGGGTGGCCGAATGGGCTAACGCGTGTGCACTGCACCGCCGTTGCCCGGCAACCTGATACATAACACTTTGATAAAAAAAAATAGTCACGAGTTCGCGTCCCGGTGCCCGGAGGAGTTTTCAAATCCCCGCCCACACTCCCTGGCTTGGGAAAATCCCCGTATAGCCTTAGAGGCGAGGAAGGGGAGGACAAAAAAAAAAAAAAAAAAAAAAAAAAAAAAAAAAAAAAAAAAAAACACTCACCTAACAAAATTTGATCCTTGATGCCTGAAACGTAAAACGCGAGAGGAAATTTTCGATTCTGAGTACATATTTTTTTAAGCTCTCGCACGAATAAAATGCTTAGTAGCTACCTTCGGAAGCAATACAATTATAACAAAACGCATTAGATTCCTGCATGGATAACGCGCACAGTAATTACATGGTTTGGAATGTTCGTTTTGGCCATTAGTAAAAGCCAGCTAGAGTGATTATGTGATGAAATTTTAGGTTATTCTAATTACCGGCTATTATTACCTCTCAGGATTATATGAATTTATTTCCTTATCGCTTTTGAACGAGTCGTTTATTAACTAAGATACTTGGCGTGATATCCTTCATTTTCAAATTCCTTAATTACAAATAGATATGAAAATATATAGGTATGCATGTGTTTTTTTGCTTAGTTTTAATTTTCTTATTTTATAGGTTATTTTATTTTATTATCTGTTGTATATACTTTTGATTATTATTTTGCTACTATTATAATTTTTTTTGTACATATAGTGTGAATATCATCCTGACTCACTATAACCAATGTCCAAGAGACAGATTGTTGTAATATTCAATAAAAAAAAAAAAAAAAAAATTTGAAAATGGCAAGGCGAACTATTATAAGTATGATCTCTATTAATAAAATACTTGATGATAATAAGTTTTTAAAGTTGCTAGTTATTTTATTTTTTTTATTTTATTAATTCTTTCCCTCCACACTTAGAGGGATAAGTCTGGTTGGGAGTTCTCTCGCCAGATTGTAAATATTGTATATAGGTATGTATGCGTTCTTTTTATTTATTTGTTTTTGGGTTGTTTTGTTCTTATTTATTGTATATATATTATTTTTCTGTATAATTTATTTTATTTATTGTACATAGAGTGTGAATGTGATCTCTGAGCACTATTACAAATGTCCTTGAGACAGATTGTAATATTTTTCAATAAATAAGTTTAAAAAAAAAATTCTTTGTCTCGCTAATTAAATACTAATTAAATTTATTCTATAAGGAAACAGGAAAATGATGACAGGAATTTTTATTGCCACAAAATAAAGGAACCAATGAACAAGCCTCAATATCTACAGATACTAGCTGACCTTGCCGTTCAACACCAAATCATAGAATAAAAAAAATTTAAACTCAAGGTTTATCGAAATAATTTTAACTTGATAATTAAATGTCATATATATAAATTGAAAACTTTAAATTTGTACACACTTTTGGTTTTTGAAACAGATGTTTAAAAAAATATTAACGGTACATAAACAAAATAATATTTATCCAATAAAGATAAAACTTGCAACATATTCTTCAGAATTGCAAGACATTTTAGTTTGGAATATCACCAAAATTAATAATTAGATTTTCCATTTAATCTCAAAAAAAAAAATTTATATTTTTGTATATTCGAAGTACATAACACAATAATAATGAAAAACAATTTAGGCTGAGTTGGAGAACATTCAAATATATATACATATATACTAGCTGCCCGACCACGCGTTGCTGAGACTCATTCTGGTTAAATAAAAAAGAGATGTTTCTAATATATTTTATGCAACAATACTTGTGAATATACGATATTATTTGTATAGATATTGGGACTGTCTGGTTTTCCAACTCATATGATTGCAACATACATATAGTTGTCTATATTGGAAGCAATCGGTCTCCAAATCTTCCACGAAACATTACTATATGTTTAAAGCATTATATCTCTGCACCCAATCGTCCGACTTTAGTGATTTTTTTATCTGCATTTTTTGTTTCATTTCGGAAATAATTCTTTTCGATTTCGATGTTCTTTTTTTTTTTTTATATCATTTTGTAGGAAATCAAGAAAGCTTTCAAATAATGAAGGGTATAATCCAACAAAAAGTATCAACTTTTTGAGTTATTCGCAAATATAGTTTTGAACCCATCGTAAATTTTTTTTCATACTCTTTTCTGGGAAGGATGTTATACACATAAATTAAAAGGGCAGAAGACTTTCGCCAAGTTTAATTAAAATCGTTACAGCCGTTTAGGCGCTACAGTCTATAGGGACACAAGTTTTTGGGCAGCCTTTCCGAAATGAAAGACCGGAAGCTGATTAAATGTATATAAAAACACTCCTGAATGCGATAGAAACATTATATCAATATTTCAAGGCGATCGGTGAAGAAGTTAGAGATTAGCGGTTTACAATTTTTTTAATAAATATAATTTTATATCAAAATCTTTATTTATTGGGCGTCTGGCTTACCAGCCTTTCATCTCTAAAGATATTAATCTAGAAAACATAAAGTACTTACTCATTATTTGGCCATCATTAAATATTTATTCTACCATGCTAGCTCAGGTGAGAAGGGGTTAGGGGTTAGGTTGGATATTTTTATAAAGAAGCAAAAAGGTTAACAGATCTATTTACAGAAAGAAATATTTACAGAATTAATACTATGTACAATAAAAAGAAATAAAATACAAGGAAAAAGAGGGAATTCAAACATAATTACTATATACAATTAAAGATAAGTTATGGTTAGATGTAAGTTGTTATATCAACTAATCCTATTCAACAATTGTAAACAAACCGTAATGCTATATATATAGCATTACGGAGAGAATAAAGTCAGTCTTATTTGAGCAACCACGTGTTTCATTCCGAACCTTTCTTTCTTTTTTTTATTGTTCTTAGTTCGAACTGCCGTAAGTGATAAAAAGGAAGATATTTAAGATAAAGATAATACAAATAACAAAAAAAGATACTTATTCTATATACAATATTATGGCATGCCACATCTAAACATCTAGAAAAGATAGTCAAGATACAACAGATATAAGATGTAAGAGCATATGCACATGCTAAAATATCAATTAGTAATCTGACTCAGGAAACAAAAGAGAGTATAATTGGTAAATGGTTGACTGTCGTGGATAATGTAGAGAAGAATAGTTGGGGTGGTCAGTCAAAAATAAATGATAATATTTATATTTACATATGCCGACGTTTCGACCTGAAGTTCAGGCCTTCATCAGGGCTAAGAAAATAACCAGATAACAAGGTATGAGAAACATAAGTAATGATGGTAAAAAATAAAATAAAAAAATTAAAAATTATAAAAAAAATAAATAAATATAAAGTAAAATGAAATTGTTAGAATAATGACAATAGTAAGAACTAAGAGATAAATAATAATAACCGTTACAAAGTGTGGAATGATGAAGTAGGCATAATCAAAAAGGGTGACATCAGTGTTAAAATGGGAATCTTAGAATAAAATGTAAAACATAAAGAGAGTATAGTTTTTTTTTTTCACTGCTTCCTTAATCTTGGTTACAATATATATATATTTTACTAGTCATTCTGTGAACTGAAAAGGTCATGTATGTATGTGTATATATATATATATATATATATATATATATATATATATATATATATATATATATATTTATACATACATACATGACCTTTTCAGTTCACAGAATGACTAGTCCCAATTTCAAAATTTTTTAATAAAGTCATTTTAATGATATTTCTAGTTTGAAAATTTATGATATCTGACAGTGAGTAAGTTGATCCCAGATTATCTCATTGCAGTGTTGAAATATAGAATTGTGAATAAAGGTATAGTTTTTCCCACCAGAAATATCACTAAAATTAATAATAAAAAAATTTGAAATTGGAGTTAGTCATTCTGCCAATTGAAAGGCTCTCATATAAGAATGTGCATTCCAAATTTTGTGAAGAATGCTCGATCCAGTATTCCGCGGACCCGGCACGAAATAAATCTTCACCTTTCCACTCTGATTATGGTTCAAAGACCAGCCTATTTTGATCCACTCTTAGAAGGCCACCGGATAAAGGGTACACATAACTATGGTATAACTATATAAGAGAAGATTTCCTCGAGAAAAATAGCAAATTAATATGAAAGCAGAAACTGATTGGTGATATTAACATTTATTTATAACCAGCGTAATATATTAATGTTGTCACAATCTGTGGTGCTGGAAGGCAGAAAAGGGTGAATAAAAATGACAAAAAAAGTTTACGAACCACTTTCTAAAAAAAATGGTTGAGAGGATGTGATAGCCGATTTTGAACGTGAATGTCTAGAAAACCCCTCCTTTGTAAGGTAAGAACTCCGAAGTAACCTTTAGGTAGCCGTCAGAGGTTGGCAAAAACCACCAAAAGATCCAATTACGTCCTAATCCCCCACAAGAAGCAGTAAAATATGGTTGAAGTAAGTAAGTCGAGTGGTTTTCCTAATTATTATTTTTTACGAGATATATATAGAAGTTACGCGTCAATATCCATCAACCAACTATTTACAAGTGCTATGACAGACATATCTTCTTAACATTATTTACTCTACACTTGAGTGTCATGTAAAATTCGATCAATAATATCGTATGTTTTAGACCGCGAAGTAATCATTTAAGTCAGACCACATCGTAATGGCTTTACACTTCATTCTGCTCAAACCATTCTTGCTGTTTTCCAAATTCATGTTCCTCTTTCCTCACAAAAATTACTGGCAGATATGCGACAGTTGGAAACTGTATTCAAACATCGCTTACGTCTGCTTTGTTTCGGTTGAGATAATTACTGTTACATATCTTTTGAGTTTGAATCTGTTCAAAACATACACTGCGGTACTTTTTGCATTTAGTTGTTCTTTAGATATCATCACCATAGGCACCCACGTTGCTGCTTTCACATTAAAGAAGGAACCAATTAACAATTTTCTCGAATGTATTGGATATTTATATAAGAAAAATTGCAAACATGTTTCAATTAATGTCATTTTTTGGTCAGTCATTATGCTTGTTATATTTCTGACACATTTATACAACTACACAACAGCCTTCCTTCAATCTCTGGATAATTGGTGTCCTATAGTCATCGCGTTCATTTACTTAATTATGTACACAATCCTGATGCAGATCGTTTATTTTCTAGACTTCTTAAAAGGGCAGTTTCTAACATTGACAAGCTCTATTGGAGACACAGAGTCCACTCTTTTGAATCAGGTGGAGGAGCATTGGCAATTGGTCGAACTGTGCCACGATGTCAACGAGCTGTATTCCAAACAATTGTTGTTTGGGATGTTCAGGTTGTTCTTAGTCCTGACTGCGGACTCTTTTTTCTTAATTTATAATCTTGTCAGGTTCAGCAACCATCCACAAATCTTAAAGATTGTATATCCTTCAGCCACTAACTTCATCTGGTCACTAACCATGCTCCTCGCTACCGGGCATACTTGCGAATTGACAAAGGAAGCGGTGAGTTATATATACATTTAATCATTTATTGAAATTCACAATTGTATTAAATAAATACATCCAGAAAATGTGAACAAATCAATAATGGCGTGAACAGAATTGTAAAGGTATAACCCATTGGGCAGCCTCCATAAATTGTAAGTAAGCAGATTGTGGATTACAACCTCAAACGGTGCTAACTTAAAGATACTATTTCGTTGGCGCTGCCCACGGCAGCGACCGCTTGAGGGTTGACTACTGCTTTAGTGGAAAAGAAAAGAACTTATTTCGTTGGCGCTGCTCGGCAGTCTAGGTATGACGTCATATCTAAGCCGCTCCTATCTGACCGCTTCTGAAGCAGTGGAGCTGTTGGCGGTTATAGGTTATGTTATCATATCAGAGCATTGTTTTGATAACAGTCCCGTTGATACGTTTTATTTCCTATGTTTCTTTCAAAGTCTGGCAAAATTATAAGAAATATTATTTAAAACTTAAAAACGCAATAGTAAAATATTTTTTTAAGATTGAAGTAACCAGATTATTTATTTATTCCACCAACAAAATTTTACAGCGAAATTCAAACATACTTAAATCCGAACTATATTAAATAAATAAAAGAATAAAAATTTAAATATAAATATAAAGTAATAAAAAAAAAAAACGGTTGTAAGAGATAGTAAGTCCGTTTTTTTATCTTCGAAGATAAAACGAAATGTTCGAAGGTTATAGGCAGGTTATAAGAACCCTACTGAGCAGTTTCAGTGAAACAACTACGCAACAACAGCGAAATAGCACCTTAAGTATGAACTTCCTTACCATCCGACCGCATTAGAAGCGAAGTGGGTTCTTCCGAATTACTGAGATTCGCAGATCCTCACAGAACATCGGCGCTTCCGGGTAAAGTTTTGAAAGAACATCGATCCTCTAAGGGTTTGCGTCGGCGTTCTAGAGCCTGATGACCACACCACCATTGGTTAACCACAACAAAAGCTACTCCGCCTCTGCCTGTGAGCAAAACGTGTCAAAGCTTTCCTAGCTTTGAAAGAAAGAAAAATAAATTTAATTCTGGGACATTTAGTCTGGCAAAATAAAAAAAATGTTTGCTAACATAACATAATCATCTACCCACATAATAAGCCAACCTTATTGTTAACTCCCGAATCTACGTATTTTATTTTCCTTTCTTTATTTTCTGTCGTTTATTTTTTTTCACCATTAACCCCTTTTAAATGTTAATAATGTAATGTTTATTTATTGTGTTTCGTAACAGCTAAGATACAATAGTTCTAGAAATGTATTTAAGTTTATATTATTTGTATATTTGGCTTTGTTTGCGATGTGTTATCGCATTTATACATGTACCAGCCCGGCAGTAATACCCAGTCTTAGAGATCAAGACAACAAAATACTGCCGGGTCGTCAGTCTGGAGCCCGTCTTCGTTTGTATTGGATCCATGTAGTTGACGTCTACCCCCACCATTTTCAACAGCGCCAGGCTCGTCTCGTCTCATCTCACCTCACCTGCGCCATTTTGAAGATCCCAGCTGTATGAATCATCGCGAGTCATTGATCAGGATCGATAAGCATATCGATCCCTCCACCATCGACTGCTTTGACAGCTAATGAACATCATAGAAGGTAACCTGGTTGGAAGCAGAACCTCCAACTTGGCTCGTTTTTTTTTTTTTATTCTCCACCGTCACGAAAGACGGTAAATTACTTTAATCTTTTTCTAGGCTATATTAGTTGTTTTCTTATGGAAAGTTATTTTTTTTCTCTATAATTTTGGAGGTTGATATTTTGTTATTAAAGGTTAATTTGGTTTTATTTTCACTGAACATTATATTTTATGTTTCATTTTATTTCAGTGCATTTCAATAATCTTTTTCCATTGTTTATTTAACTAATGTATATATTTTTTTATCTCAATAAATATTGTAAGCATTTAGAAGGGGATTTTTTATTTATCTTAACATATTTAATTAATTGAATATTTTTATATTTAATGTTTTGGGTGATAAATATTCAGGAAGCAGTCTTATTTAAATTTTGTTATTGACAAGAAACCGCTCGACGTTTCCAATTACTTCAGCACTTACTAGACAAACGCTCTAAGCTTCCCATTAATTACAAAAGACTCATATACTTGACTATAATAAGGCCTATTTGGACTTACGGAGTTGAGCTTTGGGGCTTCACTAAACCATCGAATTTCTCTCGTATCCAATCCTTACAATTCAAAATCCTTCGTAAAATCCTCAATCCTCCTTACTTTGTCACTAATAAAATTATCCATAAAGATCTTAATGTTCTTTATGTTTCAGATCTGGCATAATCCAGATACCTATCCTTCCATAATAGACTTCAGAATCATCCCAACCTTCTCGTTTCTAACCTTGCTTCCTATTCAATTCCTGATAACCCTCCGAGGCATCTGAAAAGAAGATGGCCCCGTGATCTCCTAATGTAGTCATTTCATTAGAGTGCTACCATTGGGTAGTTACTCAGCAAGTGTATTCATGTCATTATATCTATTATGTCCAAATTTACTAGATCTATTTATGTAATACAGTTGTAAATGTCATTAAGAAATATAAAAAAAAAAACAATTTTTTTTTATTTTTGCCAACGTTTTAATGTTTTGATGTGCATGAATTTTTCATGTTTTACAGGTCTCATATTTACTCTGTTTTTTCCTTCTCCATCACAATTTGATTTTACTCTAATTTTCCCCATCTTTGAAGAAACTCACCGGGAAAAGATTTGTACTTCGATTTTGAAGTACCCCTGGTCCCAACACTTATAATTAAAATATATTAAATACGGGTAAACATATTGATTTGTACATAAATATAAATGAGTGTGTTCACATATTGCTTCTAATTAACAATATTGATGATATGTAAGTAACAGTAACATAGCATTCAAACGAGAGTAAGACCTCTTTAATACGAAATTATATTCTTACATGTATTGTTAAGGAGGTGCAAGAATAAATGTTGTTTAAACGAGAATAAGGAAGAGGATTTGCGTGTTGAGATAGAAAAAGAATTCCAAAAAAGGATAGCACATATGATAAAGGTTTTTTTTAAAGGAAACGGTTCTATGAAAAGGAACAAACAGGTTTATTGACTGGGATCTTGTGTTAAACGAATGAACAGAGGAACAAGGACCATAGAAATCAAGGAGGTAAGATGGGTTTTTGGTTATGAAAAGGAATAAATCTAGGAAATATTGTCGCCGGAAATCTGGATAAATCGCCATAATGCAATTTCGAATAACAGCTCTTTACAAAGAGGAAGAAATTATGAACATTTCTCTAGCTAACAGTATAGAGGTCCAAATTTTAGTTTTTGAGATATTTTAAATCAAATATAAAAATAGTTGACTCGAGCAGACTTTATCCGAATGAACGTTACATAGGGCCAGTTGTATAATTACAGTTCAAGCCAAGTTCAAGCTTGAACTTGATTTGAAGTACAATTGTACAACTGGCACGCAATGTCATTCAATGCTCATATATTAAAGTGCTAAGTGCGCCTGAAGAGTTTTTCTTTTCAAAAAATGTTTAGGAATCATTTTCTATATAATAGTTAAATAATGTTTCTTCTAATCACATTATGCGAAATATAAAACTGATGCGTCAATATCTACCAACCAACTATTTACAAGTGCTATGGCAGACCTGTCTTCTTAACATTATTTACTCTCCACTTGGATGTCACAGCTTAAAATCCGGTCAATAATATCTTACCTTATAAACTGTCAAATCACCATTCCCGTCTAACACATCGCAATGGCTTTACACTTCATTCTGCTCAAACCATTCTTGTTTTTCTCCAAATTCATGTTCCTCTTTCCTCACAAAGATTATTGGGAAATATGCGACAGTTGGAAAATGTATTCAATCATCGCTTACATTTGCTTTATTATGGTCGTGGTAATTTTCATTAGGTCTCTCTTGGGTTTCGATCTGTCCAATACATACACTACGGCACTTATTGCATTTAGTTCTTCTTTAGATATCATCACCATAGGCACCCACGTTACTGCTTTCACGTTAAAGAAGGAACCAATTAACAATTTTCTGGAATGTATTGGATATTTATATAAGAAAAATTGCAAACATGTTTCAATTAATGTCATTTTTTGGTCAGTCATTATGCTTGTTATATTTCTGACAGATTTATACAACTACACAACAGCCTTCCTTCAATCTCGGGATAATTGGTGTCCTATAGTCATCGCGTTCATTTACTTAATTACGTACACAATCCTGATGCAGTTCGTTTATTTTCTAGACTTCCTAAAAGGCCAGTTTCTAACATTGACAAGCTCTATTGGAGATACAGAGTCCACTCTTTTGAGTCAGGTGGAGGAGCATTGGCAACTGGTAGAACTGTGCCACGATGTCAACGAGCTGTATTCCAAACAATTGTTGTTTGGGATGTTCAGGTTGTTCTTATTCCTGACTTTAGACGCTTTTTTCGTAATTCATAATCTCGTCAGATTCAGCAACAATCCACAAATCTTAAAGATTGTATTGCCCTCAGCCACCGACTTCACATGGTCACTAGCCGTGCTTCTCGCTACTGCGCATACTTGCGAATTGACAAAGGAAGCGGTGAGTTATATATATACATTTAATTATTTATTGAAATTTACAACTGTATTAAATAAATAGATCCAGAAAATGCGAACAAATCAATAATGGCGTGAACAGAATTGTTGAGGTACTACCCATTGGGTAGCACTACATCAATAGTAAGTAAGAAGATTGAGGATTACAAACTCAAAAGTTGATAACTTAAAGGTCATATCTAATCAGCTCCTATCTGGCCTTTCCTGAAGCAGTGGAGCTGTTAGTGATTCGGCAGTTTGTAGTAGACATCTCCCCTGTATTTACTCCTTTATGTGACATTGGGTGAGGGAATGAGAAGGAATATATAATATATAGGAATGTGAGGTGGCACGATGAATAGTACTCAATTATGCAGTGGACAAATATCGATAAACAATAG